CTGCGGGATGATTTTGAGCACAACACACAGGAGGAGCTGAATCTGAGCATCTGGTGAGACACAGCGGAGTGATCAGAGTACTGTACTGATGCCCTGCAGAGCGCTGGATAATCTGTGTGTGTGTGTGTGTGTGTGTCTCAGGTCAGACTGCAGTAACTGTGAGGTCGGGGAGCAGTGTGGGACACTCATGCATGGTAAAGCGGTGACGTTTTGTGAGCCCTTCGGCCTGAGAGAGCTGGTGAGTTGGACAGAGATCGTCCAGTGTTTGAACATGATATCCTCCATCATCTCCATCAGCATCAGCAGCGTGTGGACGGACGGCTCCATCATCTGCATGATCGCGTTAATCAGGTGGAAGAATCAACGGTTTAGTGATGTAATGGAGCTCATCTCCTGCTCATTGAGATGATCTGCTGATCTGAGTATATGAGGCGGTCTTCATCATAACCTATAGCTCCGACTGAAGCTGTCTGTGTTAGCATCATAACTCCATCATCTGTCCAGCGTGCGCACAGTGTGTGTGTGTGTGTGTGTGTGTTTCTGATCTGCTGTTTGTTGTTCTGCAGACGTCTGTGGCTCTGAACACCAGCACAGCCTCAGTCCTGCAGTTCGCTATGGGTGAGTGTGAGCGCAGGTTAATGCTCTCCTGAACGATGTTTTCTGTATGATCACCTCCGTTCACGTGTGTGTGTGTGTGTGTGTGTGTGTGTGTGTGTGTCAGGTTCTGGATCGTGTCGGTTCAGTCACTCGGACCCCAGCATCATCGTCTCCTGCGCTCTGAACTCCTCTGACGAGTGGATCATGGTGGAGGAGATCAGGTGCTCAAAGCTCACTCATACAGCACTGTGTACACGGCAGACTGCAGCCTAGCTTATATTGCAGCTGAAGGACGATGTGGATCAGCCGCCGGGTTATGAATAAGCTCAATGAGCGCAGAGAGAGTGTGTGTGTGTGTGTGTGTGTGTTTAGAGCCTGATGAACGCATTAAACCTCATGTGTGTGTTCACACAGTTAGAGTAATCCAGTCTAATGCATCTTTAGCTTCCTGTGGAAATCACTGCTCCTGCAGTGTGTGCGTGTGTGTGTGTGTGTGTGTGTGTGTGTATTGACCCTCTCTCTGTGTGTCCCCCCCAGGGCTCCAGTGAACAGCAGTACGGTGGTCCACCTGGTGCCGCTGCCGCTGTCCTGCAGAGCGGAGAGTGTGCGCCTGCGCTGGGCTCAGGGTGCGGCTCCGGAGCCCGATGGGTTTGAGTCCTGCTGGGGTCTGGACAACATTCTGCTGCTGAACGCTGCGAGCCGCCCGCCGCTGCTGGAGGACCGCCTGGACCCACTGGACACACACAACTGGCTGTTCTTCCCTGGAGCCACCGTCAAGGCTAGTCACACACACACACACACACAGACACACACACACACACACACACACACACACACACACACACACACACACATACGTTCCAGATTCTTGTGTGAACTAGTATGACGTTATCTACAGGTCCAGTTGTGTGTTCAGTATCTCCATTAAAGATGTTCAGTTCACTACAGATGTGGTTAAGGGCACTTGTTTTCCACACGGGTCACATTATGCAGCAGATGTGGGTGTTTCAGAGTGATAGGTGCAGTGTAACACTCCTAGCTCTGCCCAAACAGCACGCCTGCCAGTCGGAGGGGAACGCTCTGTACTTCCATGGTGGAGAAGAGTTGGAGCACACCTTCGCCTCCACCCGAGATGTGGATCTGCACCGGGAGGAAGGACGGAGCTACTGGGAGGAGGACTTCGAGGCACCGCTGAGCGGGTTAGTGTCCGACCACACACTGATTCGACAACACACACACTGATTCTACAACACACACACACTGATTCATCTAGAGCTTTCACTGTGAGCCAGAGGTGAGTGTGGGAGATGGTTCTGGGTGGACATCTGTGTTGATCCTGGAACATCAGTCCAATCAGCCAATCAGATTTGAGGCTTGTGTGTATTGCGTGGTTACCTGATGTGGTCCTCTGCTTTTCTGCATCAAACTGAGGATCAAAGGTGGAGAGGGTTCGGTTTCATTCACTTCTGCACCTTCACTTCCTGCCGGGAATCGAACCAGTAATCTTTCAATTACAAATCCACCTGCCCAACCATCAGGCCATCTTCCCGAGCATCTATAATCATTGTCATTATGTAATGCGGCTAGGGTGAGGTGCAGGGCAGGGGTGAGGTATGGAATGTACCACTGGAGGACTGATCATCCCGACTTTAATCCAGGACCACATCAGACATGGCAGAATCACAGCCAGCGGCGTCAACAAGCTTAACAACACTGACGGCTCTTTCACACCAGGACAATGTTCTCTAGCACTTATCGTCAGTGTCTGAGGTGTGAGATCCTCACTCTCTGGCTTTAGATGACTCTGAATAAAGGTGGAATCGGCCGGTGCACAAGGTGGTGAATACAACTCAGCACTGAATCCTGCTCACAGCTCCCTCTCGTGGACATCTCCGCAGTCCCTGATGTGTTTCTACAGTATATCAGAGCCTGTCCTGTCCTGTTCTGTCCTGCAGGTGGGATGTGCACGGGGCCGTGATCGGGATGCAGTGTGGGGAAGTGGAGTCCGGCTCGGCGCTGGTGTTCCTCGGAGACGGACAGAGGAAGGTGTGTACGCCGCTCCTGAACACCAGCGCATACGGAAACCTGCGCTTCCACTTCACCATGGGTATGTCTGTGTGTGAGAGTGTGTGTGTGTGTGTGTGTGTGTGTGTCCACCAGCTCTGTGTTTGACCGCTGTGTTTCCTGCAGGTGGTGGAGGCTGTGATC